GTTCTTCTTCATGGCTGCATAAAATTCCATTGTGTATAGATACCACATTTTCTTAATCCATTCGTCAGTGCTGGGGCATCTTGGCTGTTTCCATAACTTGGCTATTGTGAATAGTGCCGCAATAAACATGGATGTGCAGGTGCCTCTGGAGTAATAGTCTTTTGGGTATATCCCCAAGAGTGGTATTGCTGGATCAAATGGTAGATCGATGTCCAGCTTTTTAAGTAGCCTCCAAATTTTTTTCCAGAGTGGTTGTACTAGTTTACATTCCCACCAACAGTGTAAGAGGGTTCCTTTTTCCCCTGCATCCTCGCCAACACCTGTTTGTGGTGGTGTTGCTGATGATGGCTATTCTAACAGGGGTGAGGTGGAATCTTAGCGTGGTTTTAATTTGCATTTCCTTTATTGCTAGAGATGGTGAGCATTTTTTCATGTGTTTTCTGGTCATTTGAATTTCTTCTTTTGAGAAAGTTCTGTTTAGTTCATGTGCCCATTTCTTTATTGGTTCATTAGTTTTGGGAGAATTTAGTTTTTTAAGTTCCCTGTATATTCTGGTTATCAGTCCTTTGATGTGTAGCTGGCAAACATTTTCTCCCACTCTGTGGGTGTTCTCTTCAGTTTAGAGACCATTTCTTTTGATGAACAGAAGCTTTTTAGTTTTATGAGGTCCCATTTATCTATGCTATCTCTTAGTTGCTGTGCTGCTGGGGTTTCATTGAGAAAGTTCTTACCTACACCTACTAATTCCAGAGTATTTCCTACTCTTTCTTGTATCAACTTAAGAGTTGCAATACACTCTTGATGCCATGATGTTCTGCCTGAGCTGTAGGGACAAGCAACCATAAACTGAACCCTCTGAAACCATGAGCTAAAATAGATTATTCCCTTCGGTTGTTTCTGTCAGGTATTTGGTCACAGCAATGAGAAAGCTGACTAACACAGGTCCCTTGGGATGCTAAAGACCTCGTTGAAGCCTTTAGGGTGCTTCATTTGAAACTGAGGAATACAAGGCCTTCAGCTATTCTGAAGGCCATTCTTTCCTTCCCTTATTTGCCTCAGTTCTCCTCACACACCTACATGGGTCAGTAGCAAGTCTTTTTGACCCTACCACAAAATCCTATCTGGGTCCATCCCTGTTTTGGTTTCTAGTGTTACCATTCTGGGCCAAGCCCTGTCATCTTTCACCTGGACAGAGATGGCCTCCTTGGCCTCATTCCTCTCACCATCTATTCTCTTCTATTCCAGATACCCAATGTGATATTTTCAATCCAGAAATCAAAGCATACTACTCCCTCATCTCTCCCAAAGAGTGAAATTTAAACAGATTTGAAAACTACCATTCTCCTATTGAAAGCTTTCTTCTAGTGCTTCCTGTTAATGTTCAAATAAAACTCAAGTTTCTTATTATGCACTTTACTTTGTGATTTGCTGTCTTGTGGCCTCTCCCCATTTCCCTTTATCCACATTTCTTCTTACCACTATGCTCTGTCATGCTAGCCTTCCTTTGGCCATTCAAGCCTTCCATATTCCTTCTCAACTTGGGTCCCACTTTCCAATGTGGGTCCTTTTCCTAGGGGTCCTATAGTCTGGACCATTCTTCCACTGGCTTCTGCATAACTGGCCCTTTCTGTCCATACAGAAAAACATCCCTTCCTCAGACAGCCCCTCTCTGAGCACCTGTTGGACCAGTCACTCTTGTGCTGTTGTCTTGCTTACATTCTCTGCTGATATGATGTTACTGGCATCTTATTTGTTTCTTTACCTCTTCCAACCAGAAGGTGGGTACATGAGATTTGGGCCCTTGTTTTGTTACTCACCTCTGTGCTCTCAGGACCTAGGTCAGTGCCTGGCACATAGAAGACACTAACAAAATACTTACTGATTGAATGAATATCAACACAGATGAAACAACGCAGCAAAGATGTAAGACATTTATGCCAGTGAGGAAGCTTTGATTTCCTCCCTTATATTTCTCCTGTCCCCTTTTGTATGCTAATTTCCACCCTTGATCTTATTCATTCCACTTCAGTGTCCAAGTGAGTGTCAGTTCTTTAGACACCTCTTTATCCTAATGAACATGCCTGTCTTAAGAATGCTTAAAGCTCCTTACTTGTTCCTGCCTGAATTCCCTCCACAACCAATCACAAATACAGGAAAAAATTAATCTGATGCACTGCATGTGTCCCAGTCCCACACGTCTGTGCAGTTAGTCCCTGAAATGAAGGGACATACTCTGCACAGTCAAAGCTGAGCACACAGTGGCGTGTGTACTGGCATGTGGTACTGAGCTGCCCACCAGGAATGGGGCAGCTGTAATGACATGTTCCCTGAGCTCCCAGTCCATTCGTATGCTTGCTTCTCCTTGATGCTGCTCTCCTGCCTGTTTCCTGAGCTCTGTCCTAGTCACTCACAGGCCCTATCTCCTGCCCCACACCCAACCTCAGCTTTCTACTTGTCCTGTTTTGGTCCTAGAGAAAGCATTTTGTCTTTCTGGGCTACCTTATAGGGCATAATATGTTACTTGCTTTTTGCACTGAATTATTGGGAATGGAGTGTCCATTGAAACAACTTTTAAAAATAGGAGGGAAGGAGATGAGCATTTATTGAGTCCTTCCTGTGTACCAGGTATTATGGTAAACCACGTTTCTATATTATCTTACTTAATTCGCATAACTATCTATGAATAAGGTTTCTCTATTTTCTCAAAAAGGAGCCTGAATACCAGAGAAGTTACTTAACTTTCCAGAATCTGGAAGCTGCAGAACATGTGTGATCAGAGGAGCAGAGGCAGTGGGCTGCCTGGAGCAGGGTTGTTGCACACATAGAAGCAGAAGTCAGGTGGAGGTGGGAAGGGACCTGTTTATAAAATGAGCAGCCCTTTTCATTTATTGATAATGAGAGGCAGTAAAAGCCTGTGCTTTTAGAGCTTAGTTTGGCTCACACCATTGTCTTCTACCAGCTGTGGGCTCTGTAGGAGATATTTAGACTCTCTGGACTTTAATTTCTTCACCAATAGATGGGGACACCAATACCTGTCTCAGTAGTGACCACATGTATATGTGAGTACTGACCATAGTACTTCTCACATTCTAAACACTCAATAAATCTTTCTAGTAACACTAGATTTTTCATTAATGTTTCAGTGTCTTTTCCCCCTCTACCCTGCCACTCTACCTGGGGTATAGTAAGTCCATCCATCCATGTCTGTTTTGCCCTGGGATTGCTAGAATAGTTTGTTGCCAAGGTAATTGCAAAGGCTGAATAAGTGTGGATGAGTGAAGGTAGCTGAAATCTTTGTTTTAATCTACACACGTTTCTACGTCCCATGATGCAAACCTATGGAATGGAAATTTACTTATGTGACTGAGCTGTGTTTTCCTGGTTTTGGTTGAAAAGAGGGATCATTTCTAGTTTTTTTTTTAAGTCTATATTAAATGTGATTATAAGAACTTAGCATCTCATCCAGGTTAACATAAAAATTGAATGAAACAAGTCAGCTACCCTAATAGGTAGATCTCCTTTTAGAACATAGCTTTGTGCAGAAGACCTAGGAATGAATGGAGTTTGTGTGTCTTGAATCCCATTTTTCCTGTAATTATTTCAGGTAAGTGATGTAGTGAATAACATACCTTAAACCTTGGCTTTGAGTTTCTCTATTCTCCCCTACCACAAGTACATGATCTATAAATAGACAGCTAAGTGCATAAAAGAACTTTGTCATTTGAATGTACCCACAGGAATCCTATTATAATGTCAGCAGTCACTGGCTATTTGTCATGTGGGCTGAGGTGCTAGGCATGCTGGGTTGCTTCAGGGATACAATGGGGTAGAGCCAGAAACTAGAGTCAGTCAGGGCCTGGGATGTTGAATATCTCTACAGGATGAATTCCTATGTCTGTGGCCTAGAGGGACAGAATTAACTCTGGCCTTCCTCAGGCAGATTGCCAATCTAGGAGGCTAGTCTGTGGATGGGACACAACAACTGTTCTGTTGGTGTTACAAGTGGTGGTTATGCCTGATGACAGTAGCAGTGTGATTCTGGTCACACAGTCTTTTCACTCACAGCCAGACCCAAAGGGAGAGCAGGGCACTGTCTTTGTCCAAGTGGTTTGAGAGTGAGAAGAAGTTTGGGGAGACACAAAGCATGGTAATTAAAGAAAAACCCAGGCAGTGCTACTTATGTGGTCTCAGCCAGTTTAAAGTGTTTGGAAGACTGTGACTTAAAATATCATCCATTGCCCAGGGCATACTGAGTGCCTGGTGTGAGGTTGTAGTGTGTGGTGCTGCAGTTCTTCTGCCTTCCCTGCTTAGGACAGACCAGCTATGGGACAGGGTTGCTTCTAGGTGGAACGTTCCAGGACCACAAGTGGGTGAAGCTCTGAAGACCAGAGGTGATTGTGCCCTCATTGCCTTTGGCTAGTGTAGTTCTGCTCTTTTAAAATATGTTTTTTTTGAGTAAATGAACATCTGAGGGAAGTAGTGTTATAAATGGACTCACCAGTTCCAAGTACCTTCCAGGAAGGTACCTGGAAATCCACCTGTATGTTTTTTTATTTCTGGAGAGAGAGCTTAGACTTGCTGAGACACCTTTGCTGTCAAAAAGCGATAGGGAGGGGGCGGAGTGGGTGGTAAGGGAGGGGGTGGGGGCGGGGGGAGAAATGACCCAAGCCTTGTATGCACATATGAATAATAAAATTAAAAAAAAAAGTGATGGTTCTGCTTTACAATTACCTGGGGAGTTTGTTAAATTTAATTTCTGGGCTCCATCACCAGAATTTCTAAATCTGCATGTCTGACATTGGACCTAAGCATTTGCACTTCCAACAGCAATGCTATCACTGCTGCTCCAGGGCCACACCTGGAAAACCACCACCCTAGGGTCATCTATTTCTTTATCATGCTCTGAAAGTCAATTACATTTTATTTATTTATTTTGACCAAGTCCATCATTGCTGTAAATATGTTTTATTCATAGGTTTGTCTTTGTCTCCTTTGAACAGGTATTTTGATGTTGGACTACATAATTTCTTAATCAGGTAAGCCAGTGCTTTTTGTTGTAGATATCATTGAATAGCCTGTCTATTATGAAAGAATGCAAAGGAAAATAAATCCTTGTCAAATATCTTGATAAATGATAACTGTGTACTTATCAAGGAAATATTGCTTACACTCTGTGTGTATATGTGTGTGTGTGTGTTTACCACAATCATACATTACTAAACAGTCAAGATAATCTATGTTTAAAGGGGTTTATGTCTGAAGAGATAGTTACCAAAAATCCTAATTCCCACTACTAGGCTGCTGGAAAGATCAACAGTGAACAGTGCAAGTTTACATTCAAATATTAACCCATTACACCAATTTCTCCCCATTGAATTTAATCTTTTTAAGCTGAATCTACTGCCTGTTTTATAATCAGAAGACACAACCTTGTTCATAATTGAAAGAGATTGTGGATGGCAGTTTATATTCCAGTTTATTGGTGATTTTTACCAGAGTTGGCTTATGGGGTATATTAATTTCACATAGTTATTAAATCAAACAGAAATTACACGGAAGGATACCAGAATATTAGGAGTGTTTGCAAGAATATGTGTGATTTTAAACCAGATTTGCCATGTTTTCTCAATTTTTCATATTGATATGCATTGCTCTAATAATGACAAAAATGATCATTAAAATACCTGTCAAAAATACACCAGGGAAGTAGTAATGGTTGCCAAAGGAATCACTAAACTAATGATTATAAGGAAACCAGAAATCATATGAAGCGATTTGCCATCTGCAAATATGTGATTCTAAATGCTAATTAATTCTGACAAATAGTCTGCTAAAATCTGTGGGTTAATTGTGGTTTTTGTGCAGGTGTTATGGTGGTTCAGTTTCCCACACTTCATGACTGTCTATCTCCCCATTGGTAAGATGCTCTCTGAGGGGAAATGTCCATAATTCATTATTACTTTTACTTATCCTTAGTGCTGGGTTGCATATGGTAGCATTCCAAGCAAGGTCATGCCTACCTTGTCCTTTTCTCCAAGTCCTCATCCAAGGCTGCATCATTGAATTCTGCCTGGTCTACTGTAGATCAAAGGAATATAGATTGTCCTGGTTTTCTTCAGGACTTTCAAACACAGATGGTAGTATGTAAACCATTACCCTTGACACAATGAGGGTAAATGCATGTTAGTAGCAGGAATGAAGAATCAAGAGTCATGAGAAAGGCAGGCGTGAGATTTCTGTATCTAAACTGAGCAGAAAAAAACAATAGTCCTTGGGAATACCTCAGGGAATAGTTTGGATTCTGGACGTCTTTGGTACTTTAAACTCTGATCATGGAAATGTTCTTATAATACCTTGTGTGGATGCAAGTTTGTACTTATTTTCTCTAGTAACTTTCTTGAAGGCAGGGAATCATGTCTTAATCAACAGTTAGTGATTAAATTCAGAAACTTGTGTGGAATCAACCTTCAACAAACATTTGTGGTAGGAGTGAATGAATGAAATGAGACAGAAAGATGAGGGTAAGTCAGAGAAGACACTGTTCAGTGATTGATTCAGGAAGTAATTATTAAGCTACTTAGTTGGATATGTCTAGGATGCTGTCATTTGTGAAAATAGATGGTTGATTTAAAGCTTTCTCTAACCTTATCATTTGTCAGGCTTGAGGGATGGTCTGCCTCCCTGTCCTTGTCTGGACTCCAGTCATTTCTCCTACCTGGGTCTGGAGGGGGAGAGGTGGTGGTCAAGTTGCTTTGATATGTCTGGTGCTCAGACCCCTTGCCATGTCAGGAGGCCTTTTGGGGCAGATACTGGAAAATGATGTAGCTAGTTACCCTAATCAGTATTGTGTGAAGTAAGCAGAACTTGAGAGGTATGTGTATGTGTGTGGGGGGGTGACGCTTCTCTGCCCAGCTAAATTCCTGTAGTTTTCTTTTTCCTTATTCTAGGTGAGCCAAAGCAAATAAACACATACATTGCTTGTCCACTTGGGGAATGAGAAGTCAGTCTCCCCTTCTTATAGATATCCCCTGTGCCTATGAGCAGATTTCTTCTTCATCCAAGTCACATTATGGTATCCCTACCTCCCCCAAACAACTTAAAGACTTCAAGTCCCTCGCTAGTTTCCCTTCCCAGCTTGGGAGCTGGGGGTGGCGGGGGGCAGGAAGATGGGTAGAGGTGGTTGCTAGGAGGAAAGTCAGTTCTTCACCTCTTAGGAATCCCAGAATGGGTGGGGTATCTGGCTTTATTTGTAGTTCTTTTTAGCAAATGGTCCCCTTCTCCCCCCTTCTCAAGCCTGATGGGGGCTAAGCATCATTTATGATTTGGATACATCAGCCTGAGCACTGCTTGTGATTGGCTGCATTGACAAGAACTGTTTCACTGGGATAATGACCTTGAAGCCAGATTGAAAAGGGTGGGGTACGGAGGAGTTAGGGCAAGTAGATGGCAATGACACCTCTTAAATACTGAAAAGAAGGAAAGAAAGGTGGAGCAGCTGGTGGAGAGGTTGGGTTGAGTGTTTTGTTTTGTTTTTTCCAATGGGAGAAACCCTCACTTGTGGCCATCAGAAGATCTAAAGTGTCTGTTAGAGAAGGCAGTTTCAGTTGGGGGAGATAGACACGTGATTACAGGGGCAGTCTGTGTTTCCGCAGTGCTCCAGAGAGCCATGGTATTTTCCTGAATGTACATCCCTAGAGGAAGGATTAGGGGGCTAGGAGAGTGAAGCTGGCATTGGAGAAACCTTTCCAAGGGAAGAAAATTTATTTCCCTTTGCAAAAGAGGAAATGTAGAAGCAATTGGCATTTTTGTTTGTTTGTTTTTGTTTCTAGACTGTATTTATTGGCTCCAACAATCTCTAAAAGCATTCTTTAGTTTGTCAGGCTGTGTAACATGCCTAGTGTTTGCATGAAAGAGAGTGCAGCATGCCTAAAATTAATCAGGAGCATCTTTCATCTTGATGGACGTAATGCTGATTTCTAGGGTGTGACTTAAGCTTCCCTAGAGCCCATCTGTGTCTCAGCCTAGGCAACTGCCTGGACAGACAAGCTTTCTTATAAGCTGAGAGTCCTACAATGAGCTCCTGGGCAGACAGGAGCTGTCACAGTGAATGAAATCTGAGCATTTTTGGTATGGTGTTTTATGATAGCTGTGGAAAAACATGAAGTCAGTCCTTCTGCATCTTATGGACATCAAAGGAATCAGGGCAGCAAGTCACCTGAGAATAACGTTGAAGAAGACAATTGGCTGGATTCACCATGTGTCATAACAAAAGAAAACGGAAAAAAGGGACCAACTTGACAATAAATATAGATTCACTATAGGTATAACTGGCTCACTTAAATTTAGGTTTGGCTAGAAAATTAAAAAGATTTGTATTTTGAAAATTTGATTCTTGCATTTTCTCTCTTGGCTAGAATTATAGCCAGGCCCCTTTTCTTCTCCTTCCCTTCCTTCCCTTCCTTCCCTCCCTTCCCTCCCTTCCCTTCTTCCCTTCTTTTCTCGCTTTCTCTCTCTCTTTCTTTTTCTTTCTTTCTTTCGGAAGTGGGGTCTCATTTTGTTGCCCAGGCTGGCCCCCAAAAACCCTGGGCTCAAGCTGTCACCCTGTCTCCTAAGTAGCTGGGAAGTTGCACATCACTGTACCTGGGCTACACCCACATCCATCATAAGGGAAGGTGCACTTCTTCATCGCTCAGGTGGGAGAATGGTTTTAAGTAATGCAGACCACTGTGACCCCTATAAAAGGCCCTGGTGTCATCCTTCTCTCAGTCTCTGAAATATTAGAACTTTTCCACTTCCCATTTTCTGGTTTTTAATTGCTTATATGTGTATAAATTTAAAAATCAGAAAAATATCTATTTGTATTTTCTTATTTTTAACTCTTGAATTTGTTTTAAATACTTATTTCAAATAAAGGTATAGCTTTTTTCTAAGTAGCAAAATAAATTGTCTTTATCATCATCTCCCATATTTATTCCAGAATTCATCAAGGCCATTACTTTTGCCATAAGCAGAATGTCTTTTTATTTTTCCTTTGAGACATGGTTTTGCTATGCAGCCAAGATTGACCTAGAACTCGCTATTTAGCCTAGGCTGGTCTTGAACTCACAATCCAAGGACTGTATCCTCTGAGGACTATGCAATGTGTGAGAACCCTGCCCTTGATACTTAGGCAAATAGAAAAAGGCAGTGAGCCTCCGGCACAGCCCTTTCTGAGCTATGTGAGAAGATTTCAGGAGTTCATATGGTTCCTAGCAGATAAATTTCTTTTCATAATGAAACAGATTCTGCTTATGGAATGATTGTCAGTGTCATGTAGATTTAATCCTGCACACATGCTAACATTTACTCAAAACAGCACATGCCCTTTTGAAGTGGGATTTGTCCTGCTGAGAGAGAGAGAGAGAGAGAGAGAGAGAGAGAAAGAAGAGAGAAGACCTGGTAGACCTGGATGGATGTTCACGTCTTTTGTTTCTTGTGTTCTTCTGAAATTTGGTTCAGGCATTCCACCAGGCATGGGATGCCTTCAAATTGGCAAAAGGACATTTCATTAATATGTAAATGTATGGTTCACTAAATACTGAAATGAGCGAAGCTGACCTTCCCTGCCTTTGACTTTCCCTTGTTGACACCCTACACCTGACCCATTTATAAATCTAGTCCTGCAACAGAATAGTTCTTTGGGTTAAAAAGAAAAACAACAACAACAACAACAAAAACTCAAATTGGGGGCTCAAACTTTATGAAACAGTGTTGACTTTAGCTTTCTTAATCTTGGGTACTACAAAGCCCACCACTATAGTTAATTGCCAGATTTACATTGTTGATGAACATCTGTCTGTCCACCATCATTTAAGTATTTTTGGATTAAGTGATATCTGAAGTAGCCAACAGAGTTGTCCATGCATCTTTAAGAAGCCACAGAATCAAATGAGTTCAGGCTAAAGAACTCCGTCTGAGAAGAAGGAAGAGAGCAGAGCATGGGCGGCTCCTTCCTGTGTCCCCTTAGGACCATTGAGCATGGAAAGCTATTTGGATT